GTCAGCAACACCTGCGTTGTGTGTGACTGATCACGTCCAATACTGGTGTCAGCAACACCTGCGTTGCAGTGTTCCTCCTTATGTTGTCTTTCAGTAGTTCTTCACTGTTCATGAGTGTGTTGAACACTTGTCTTTCACTTAGTCCTCAATATTCATGAGTGATGAACATTTATCTTTCAGTTGTTCCTTATTGTTCACCAAGATAAAAAAAAAAGTACATCAGTTCTAGGAGGTTCTGTTATCTGTTAGTTGAGCCGAAATTATATAAAAATCTAAGGAATACCTTAATGTGTTGACCTAACATAAGTACCACTGCCAAACTTACTCAGGATGGGTCACATCCTTTAATTTTCTATTGATTATTCACACCAAGTTTACTCATGATAGTTCAGTGTATGTATGATGGGTCGCACAAAATTTACTCATAATGAATACTAAGCTCACTCAGATAAGTCCCACTCTCAAGTTTACTCACGAGTCACACAAACCGTCAAGTTTATTCATGATGGGTCACATGAAGGTTACTGATATCATACCAACTTCATTCATGATGGGTTCTACCAACTTTACTCAAGATGGGTTATACCAACTTTACTCAAGATGGGTTATACCAACTTTACTCATACTGAGTTTCACCAACTTTATTCATGACTGATTATATTGCAAGTTTACTCAGGACGAGTCACATCAAGTTTATTCTCAAATGAAAAGACTCGTTTAACATTTTCTTTCGATTATCTTTAAGTAGTGAGAGTACTTGTATTTGAGACTGCTAAAGAAGGAATATTCGCCTCAGCATAGAGGCTTTCAACAGGGAATGAATGAAAGGCACCAAGGCATAAACGTAGACCCTGATGAAGGGGATCTGACTTAGAAAGAGTGGTAGGAGAAGCTGCAGAATAGAATTGGTCGCCATAATCCAGCTTGCACAAGACTAAGGTGGAATGCAAATGGAGGAGAGTCCGGCGATCTGCTCCCCATGAACGATGTGCAAGAATTTTAAGAAGATTCAGCCATGGCAAGCTGCCTTCAAAGAGGAAATGTGAGGTTTCCATGTCAACTGGCAATCGAAGAGAAGGCCAAGAAACTTGACTGTATCACATTCTGGAATACGTGAGCCATGTAAATACAATGGAATATCTGAGACAAAAGGACGTCTAGTGAAGGTAATGAAATGGGTTTTAGTACTAGAAAATTTAAATCCATGAGAAGTGGCCCAATGAGAAACTCGATCAATCACATCCTGAAGAGAGGCCGCTACCAGGCGACAGTCGGCACCTTCGTAAGCTATAGCGAAGTCATCCACATAAAGTGATGACCACATATGCGATGGAAGATTGGAAGGTAGGTAATTTATAGCCAAGAGAAAAAGGGTAGTACTAAGGACACAACCCTGTGGACACCCTCGGCCTGAACAGTCTGAGGAAAGTAAGGCACCAACATGGACAAGAAAATGTCTCAGATAAGAAAGCAGCAAGGAAGGTTGGTAGATTACTGCACAGGCCTAAGGAGTGGGCTTGGGTTAAAATGTTATACCTCCAAGTGGTGTCATATGCCATCTCGAGATCAAAAAAGACTGCTTGGACAGAATGGTTGTTAGCAAAGGCATTTCGCATATACGTATCTAAGTGGAGCAAGGGGTCCAAAGTAGAGTGGCCCTTGCGAAAGCCATACTGGCAAAGAGAAACACTATTGTGAGTCTTCAAATACCATATCAGATGTCTATTCACCAATCGTTCCATCACCTTGCAGACTACACTGGTCAGAGCAATGGGACGATAGTGAGAGGTATTAAGCCCTGAGGGGCCTGGTTTGCAAAACCGTAGTATAATGGCAGATTTCTATTGTTGAGGGAGAACCCCTCACGTCCAAATAAGACTGAAAAGACGCAAAAGGATTGTAAGGGCTGCAGAATGCAGATGTTGTAGCATAATGATATGAATATCATCAGGCCCAGCTGCCAATGACTGGCAAACAAAAAGCGTGGACTCTAGCTCTAGGAGAGTGAAAGGTACATTATACGGCTCCATTCCATTATTAAAGAAATCCACGGGCAATTGCTCCTTGGTAGACTTAGACACGAGAAATGAGGGACAAAGGTGAAGCCCTTGGGAGACACGAACAAGATAGTTCCCGATTTGCGTGGCAACTTCAAGAGGTTCCGCAAAACTAACACCAGCAACCCACAAAACGGGAGCTGGGTCCGGAGTGTACTTGCCACACAACTTCCATACTTGCTTCCAAACTGCACACATAAGGGAAGTCGAGGTAATGGTAGACACAGTCTTGCCTATGATGCAGCGAGCGACTGCCCTTGCCCGTTTAAATCCAAAAGACGATCTGAGGTAGGATTATATCGATAATGGCCCCATGCAGCACGTTGCAAATGCACTGCACAGGCACACACAGGAGACCACCAAGGAACACATGTCTGAGAATGCCTGCCTGAGGTTTGAGGAATAGAACGTGATGGTGCAGTCAAAACTAAGGTCGAAAACTGGTGCACCAGCTCATGAACAGAGGACGAAGGAGGGTCCCCACAAAAGGCAAGATGAGAGTATAGGTCCCAATTTGCTTGTCCAAACTGCCAACGGGGGCTACAAGGTGGTCGGAAATACGTAGTAAAAGTAAGAAGAATAGGAAAGTGATCAATGTCATGCAAATCTGGGAGAAAAGACCAAGCATAATCAAGTGCAAATGACGAGGAGCAGATAGAAAGATCGATGCAAGAGAGAGACTGAGTGCAAGAGTAAAAAATGGGTGGGAGCACTCGTATTTAAAACATGAAGAGGATGAGAAGTGAGAGAGTTTCCAACTGATCACGAAAGTCACAGTGGGACCCTCCCCAAAGTTGATGGTGAGCATTAAAATCACCTAACAAGATGGGCGGCAGTAGAGAAGAGATCAAGAACACAATATCCAAGATACAGAATGCACGGGTAGGGGAGAGGTCTAGAGAGCATACTGTACACCATCTGTGCAAATAAATACTGGCTGCAGTATAATGCAGCAGAGAAAGAACAAAGACCTGTTGATATGGTATACCAATGCGCACAAGAAGCACACTCTCATTAAATGATTCATCAGGAAAGGGATCAGAAGACTGCAACAGCACATAGTCCGAAACAGGACGAATAACAGCTGAACGAATTTTCCCCTGAAAGAAGAGCCGAGAAGCAGCCATAGCACAAGGCCTTCACTCTACTTAAGACAACGGATTTCTCGTTCATTAAGATAGACCTGACATCGGCGGGAAAAAGGACGAGATTCATTGCAATTGAGACAAGTGGGTGGGAACACTGCAAGATGTATCGGCATGATCTGCAGCACTGCAGACCGGGCACTCCAATATACATCTGCAGTATTTAGCGGGGTGTCCAAAGCGTAAGCAATTTCGACACTGTTGAGGAGTAGGGACTACTTTACAGACCACTAGGCGATGGCCGATGGCCCGCAATATAAGCGTAGGACGGGAGTTAATGGCAGTCAGAGGTTAAGTGGGCGATGTTACTAGGAAAGTGCCTCTGCCCGCTAGCAGGCAGGACATATGTATCCACTTTGAGAACAGGAAGGTCCTGAGGGGCTAATTGCTCCAAAATATCATCACCACAAGACAGAAAATCACACTATACAATGGTACGCGGTAAAACCACATCACTGCAAGAATTGAGAGTAGCGTGCTTGTGAACTGTAACTGGAATGTTATCAGTAGAAGTAAGATGGGAAAGATCATGAGCTTGTTCTGCATTCTGAACTGTAACAATGCACGCACCGCTTCGAAGAGTGTGAAAGAATATATTTTGGCCATCATGTTGTAAAGGAGCTTTACCAATACTATGGTTAGAAAGATAATCAGTTGGAGATGCTGGTTGTAGGGAAAAGAATTTAGTCCAGTGTACTTGTAAACATGGTGCATAAAGGAAGTGGGTGTTGCAGAGGTCGGTTTTGGGTGGAATGAGCAGACATCGAAGAACCGCCGTCAGCAAATGGTCTGGAACATTTAGGCATAGTACCGCGAGCGGCCTGAGGGCGACCCGAAAACCGTAGAACCATATTCGGGGAAGCCAAACGCATTAAAAGCGTGCAAGAGGCACCAGAAGAAACGGACAGGGCCTCAGCACCTGGAGCGGGTGACGAAGCGTCACCAGCAGAAGGTACAGGGGTATGGGAAGAGTCTGGAGAATGGTCCAATAACGAAGCCGGGTCAGAAAAGGATGTGGTAACAAAAAGGGGACTGGGAGGAGGAGGGTTATCAAGAGACGAAGACTCCATAATGAACAGAAGAACAGTGTTGTGATTAAACACTTTATAACTAAGATCGTATATTTTTCTGTTGGACTTTGTTTCCTAGTGATAATTACAGCATTACTCATATATTTAAAACAACAACTAGGATTACTGCTGTTCCAATACCTTGTTGCTAATAAGGGGCGATTTAGTAGCAGGCTAACTAGTAAGGGAGCTTCATAGAACTCCAAGAAATAACATAAACTTTTTTCAAATTCCTAACTCGCAACACACACACACACACACACGCTTATACAACAGGCCTAGTGTCTAATCGACATGTGCCTAGGACAAAATGGTAACACACACACACACACACACACACACACACACACAACCGGTGAAGAGGCGGGGCCAGGAGCTAGGACTCGACCCCTGCAACCACAAATAGGTGAGTACAAATAGGTGAGTACACACACACACACACACACCACACACCACACACACACATACGCACCATACACACACATACGCACACACACACACACACACACACACACACACACACACACACACACACACACACACACACACACACACACACACATTCAACAGGCCTAGTGTCTAATCAACATGTGCCTAGGACCAAATGGTAACTAACTAACACACCTTGCTAGTCATTAAAATACACAATGAAGTACTGTGCTTAACTAAAGCACAGTCCAACATATTTTTTGTTGACTTGAGAAGATTCTTGTGTCTTCGATTTGTTGACATCAGTTAGAGGGTTTGAGAATCTACCGAAAAAAAATATGTAACTTCAGGTTTTTACCAGACTATTACTGGATATCTTTCCAACTTGAGAAGAACCGATGTTAACACAGTGTTATCTAACTGTGCTGGTGGTTGTATTCTATACTTCCTCCCGTACCTCTCATTCCAGTAAATTTATGGTAGTGTATAGACTGAGGACCTGACCCTCAAGTATCTTCTGTGTAAATATTAACACACACATCCTTTTCGTCTGAGTTTTACAAGACTTACAGAATACGTCATCACACCAGAGTAAAACTCCAAAACCACTTTATCAACATTTGTTATCTAGTAAAATCGTTGGAAAAATACGTACAGCAAGAACAACTCTACCATATATTCGTTTAACAAGTTTAATGTTGTTTTCAAAGTTATCTTGTAGTTGTGCACTAAGGTTCTCCAGAACAAAAGTCGTGATGTTGTCTTGCTGCCATATTAATAACCCATAAATAAAATAAATTAAAAGTAGGAGGTACTTACGGACACCATGTGCGCCACACCGCAGCAGCTTATCTCACTAACCTATAATGAAGACACATTTCATTAAGTACAAACACCTTAATGAAAGAACATCTTTCAATGATGGATTACCCATATATTATAAAAACCACGTACAAATATTTAGCATTAAAAAAAAAAGCCTAGGCCATTATTATAATGACATTTGGCCTCCAGTAAAGGCAGCTGTCCTTGAAGTCAGAGGATAATATATATTGATATAAAATCTTAAGTTTCTTTGTGTCTTTCATCCACTCCTACAAAATCTTATACTCCTTTGACCAATGTATGAAACTATGTATGAGCATATTGACCCCCAGTAAGGACATTTCTTTCAGACACGATCTCCGATACTTGGGATATCGAATACTTTCCGCACGTTTAGAATTTTGGCGGTCCGGGGACATCCTAGGATGGTCCTTATTGCTTCCAGCCCTCCAAGCTTCCAGTCTGACACAAGAGCAAGGATTGCCGCGGAATAATCAACCAATGTAAGCAAAATACATAATTTTTACAATTTTAACATTAGCACCATACCTGGGATGAAACCTGCCACAACTCTAAGTGCTCTCAGCCTTTTGTTTTGTCGACAAGGTCTTGTTACAACAAGTCAAAGTAGTGGTACCTCAAAGCCTAGAAACATATATCCGGTTGCACGTTCTAGCCAAGACTCGTGCAACTGGATCCTGCGGACTAAGCATCTCTGTAGAGGAGAAGACCTGTTCAGTAACATAGTTTTCTCAGCCGAGATAATCAACCCCAGGTCCTGACACGAAGCTAGTATATGATTAAGGATGTTTAGGGTGATGGAGAGTCTGATGGTTTAAATCAATATACCATCAGTACAACTAAACATGTAATAAAGTTGGTAGAATTACCAACAATATGTAAAGTAAAAGGACACAAGTGCAACTAATGTGACATTTTATTGTGGCAACGTTTCGCTCTCCAGGAGCTTTATCAAGCCATTACAAACAATACATGGACACAGAGGGTATATGTAGGCTCAGAGTGGAAATATAAACACAAATGCAGTATAATGTGATCCTTTATTGACTACGTTTCGCCCACACAGTGGGCTTTTTCAAGTCACAAACAGAACTACCTGGGGTGAAAGGAACGCGAGTATTTATAGTCCGGTTCAGAATGCTGAGGTCAGGTGAAGAATGCTGCATCTGATGATGTACCGAGTGGGGTTATAGAGTCTGAAAACTTGGGTAGCTTGGAAAGGATATTGGATAAGTTTGTGAGCAGACCTTCTTCAGTGTTCTTATGTGGGATAGCGATGAAGAAGTTTCTTGGCAAGTGGTTCAGCTATGTTATAGAAGCCACTATTCTGGTTGAAGTTGTTGGATATAGAAATAAGTGATGATTCCAGGATTCTTCGGTATTGAGTGTTGTCTTCTGTGGCGATAAGTCTTGAGTTTCTGTAGTTTATCAAGTGGTTGTGCGAATTACGGTGTTGTACGCAGGCATTCCTTGTGTCGTCAGACCTGCTTGCGTATTGGTGTTCTGAAATACGTGTTTGGAGGTCCCTTGATGTTTCGCCCACATATAATTTGTTGCAGTCATTACAAGGGATTATGTATACCCCTGCAGAGGATGGAGGCTTGTCCTGTCTACTACTGGTGATGTCCTTGATGGTCGTGGTTGTGGAGGTAGATACTTGGAATGATGTTTTGGCAAAGATGTTGGAAACATGTTTGGCAATGGAGTTGGTGGGAAGGACTATGTATCTCTTCTCGGCAGTGTCTTCTCTGGGTGTGTTGAAGATGTTTAATGCTCGCCGTCTGCAGTCTCTGATGAAGTGACGAGGATAGTGGAGTTTAGAAAATATTTGTTCAATTATAGTGCATTCTTCCTCAAGGAACTCGTTGCTGCAGATTCTGAGTGCACGCAGGAAGAAGCCTATAATTACACCACGTTTGGTTTTGGTGTCGTGGTGAGAGTAGAAGTGGAGAAGATCGTTTTGGTTGGTGGGTTTTCGATAGACTTAAAAACGAAGTTCGTGGTCAGCTTTGCAGAGCAGGACATCAAGGAAAGGAAGAGTGTTGTCGACTTCTTCTTCAAGTGTGAACTGGATTGAAGGCTCGACCTGGTTGAGCTTGTCTTGGAGAGCTTGAACGTTGAAGCGTTTAGGAGTTATGAGGAGAATGTCGTCAACATAACGGAGCCAGTGGAGGCAGTGCTCCCCACCAGCTCTCAGGAATTCTCGCCAAACACCTCTCTAAACTCTTGGGCACTATCAGTCCAGCACATCTCAAACACTCAGGTGATCTTCTCAATCGCATTCGCAACATCAACATCAGGAACAAGAAACTTTCCAGCCTTGACGTGACTTCCCTATTCACCAAAGTACCTACTGCACAAGCCATCGATCTCTTGCGCAGGAAAATTGACGATTCACTTGATCTTCCCATTCCAGCCAGCGATTTCATCGACCTTGTTGAACTATGTGTTGGCTTTACGTGTTTCTCTTTCGAAAATCACCTCTTTCAGCAGACTTTTGGACTACCCATGGGTTCGCCACTCAGTGCAGTCCTGGCGAACCTATACATGGAACATCTAGAAGCCGAACGTTTCTCCACCATTATTCCTTCGTCTGTCACCTGGCTCCGTTATGTTGACGACATTCTCCTCATAACTCCTAAACGCTTAAAACGTTCAAGCTCTCCAAGACAAGCTCAACCAGGTCGAGCCTTCAATCCAGTTCACACTTGAAGAAGAAGTCGACAACACTCTTCCTTTCCTTGATGTCCTGCTCTGCAAAGCTGACCACGAACTTCGTTTTAAAGTCTATCGAAAACCCACCAACCAAAACGATCTTCTCCACTTCTACTCTCACCACGACACCAAAACCAAACGTGGTGTAATTATAGGCTTCTTCCTGCGTGCACTCAGAATCTGCAGCAACGAGTTCCTTGAGGAAGAATGCACTATAATTGAACAAATATTTTCTAAACTCCACTATCCTCGTCACTTCATCAGAGACTGCAGACGGCGAGCATTAAACATCTTCAACACACCCAGAGAAGACACTGCCGAGAAGAGATACATAGTCCTTCCCACCAACTCCATTGCCAAACATGTTTCCAACATCTTTGCCAAAACATCATTCCAAATATCTACCTCCACAACCACGACCATCAAGGACATCACCAGTAGTAGACAGGACAAGCCTCCATCCTCTGCAGGGGTATACATAATCCCTTGTAATGACTGCAACAAATTATATGTGGGCGAAACATCAAGGGACCTCCAAACACGTATTTCAGAACACCAATACGCAAGCAGGTCTGACGACACAAGGAATGCCTGCGTACAACACCGTAATTCGCACAACCACTTGATAAACTACAGAAACTCAAGACTTATCGCCACAGAAGACAACACTCAATACTGAAGAATCCTGGAATCATCACTTATTTCTATATCCAACAACTTCAACCAGAATAGTGGCTTCTATAACATAGCTGAACCACTTGCCAAGAAACTTCTTCATCGCTATCCCACATAAGAACACTGTAGAAGGTCTGCTCACAAACTTATCCAATCTCCTTTCCAAGCTACCCAAGTTTTCAGACTCTATAACCCCACTCGGTACATCATCAGATGCAGCATTCTTCACCTGACCTCAGCATTCTGAACCGGACTATAAATACTCGCGTTCCTTTCACCCCAGGTAGTTCTGTTTGTGACTTGAAAAAGCCCACTGTGTGGGCGAAACGTAGTCAATAAAGGATCACATTATACTGCATTTGTGTTTATATTTCCATTGTGTCGGTATTTTATACCATTTACTTCCAGGCTCAGAGTGAGGTGCAATACTAGTGGTAGTAGTAGTAGTAGTAGTGACAAAAGTTGTAGTGGTAGTAGTAATACAATATGGTAGAGCAATTAATTCGTACATGAGTAAAAGGATATAAAAGCTATTACTTGGGTAACATAAAAATAGATTGGACAAATATAGACTGGATAGAGGCAGCCTGTTTCAGTGTTCACTCTCTGTAATGTGCTTTGTGTAGTATAACAGGAGAGACTATGTGATGGCAGGGTTTACTGTTTTCAGGAGGATTCTTGCTAAGACTTCAGAGATAGTGAAGCTGCCGTTGTTTTGTTTAATTGTATTCGAAACAGCGATCAGTGCTGATTCGAGGCACTTGCGTCTGCGGAAATTAGTTTCTTTGATCACTAATTGGGCGTCCCTGAATTTCATGAGATGATTGGTGGAATTTCGGAGTTGTACACAGGCGCTGTTCAAGTTATCGTTCCTACATGCGTAAATGTGTTCATTGAGGCGGGTGTCGAGGTTTCTTGCTGTTTCACCTACGTAAATCTTGTCACAGCCTCCACAGGGTATAGTGTAAACTCCTGCATTGACTGGTTCGTGGTGCTTTGATTTTGTCGTGGTTAGATCCTTTATTGAAGTGCTAGAAGCGATGGCGACTCTGGTGTTAGCTTGTGAAAGTACTTTAGAAACGTTCAGTGCAACCTGGCTGTTGGGAAGAAATTCAGGGACGCCCAATTAGTGATCAAAGAAACTAACTTCCGTAGACGCAAGTGCCTCGAATCAGCACTGATCGCTGTTTCAAATACAATTAAACAAAACAACGGCAGCTTCACCATCTCTGAAGTCTTAGCAAGAATCCTCCTGAAAACAGTAAACCCTGCCATCACATAGTCTCTCCTGTTATACTACACAAAGCACATTACAGAGAGTGAACACTGAAACAGGCTGCCTCTATCCAGTCTATATTTGTCCAACCTATTTTTGTTACCCAAGTAATAGCTTTTATATCCTTTTACTCATGTACGAATTAATTGTTCTACCATATTGTATTACTACTACCACTACAACTTTTGTCACTACTACTACTAGTATTGGACCTCACTCTGAGCCTATATATACCCTGTGTCCATGTATTGTTTGTAATGGCTTGACAAAGCTCCTGGAGAGCGAAACGTTGCCACAATAAAATGTCACATTAGTTGCACTTGTGTCCTTTTACTTTACACAGCTAAAC